CTGGAAACGGAATATGGAAGATCTGCTATGAATTGCAAGACACAATACTGAGTCACCCAAATAACAGGGGAAAAAGACCAGATACAGAAAAGCCCAGCACACCCCTGGTACCACCCATGGAGCAAGCAAAGTGCTACCTTGAATTCCATTTCTGCATACTGGGCTTCCTTTCGTTCCTGCATGAGGCCCAGGCAGAAGGCCTGGAAGTTGATCTCATGTTTTGTTTGTTTGATGATCTCTCGCAGCAGAGCCCGCGAAGCCCGCAGGTAATCATCCTTAGTAGTCAAAAGATCCTGGAACACCATTGCTAGGTACTGAGAGAAAACAGGACTGTCAGTGCACTGCAAACATCAGCAATTACAAAACAAAAAGCATATTGTTTGTCGTTCAGACACCTGTGAGCTATAATACGTGTCTCTAAGGACATTTCATCGCCACAAGTCTGGTCGCTCTGAATGCGGGAGCCAAAAGATGCCCATACACATTTATTCATAACAAGTTAACCAAGGTGATCTCAAAACAGTATGATACACACACACAGCTGCCTGTGGGAAGATTTCATTTGAGACACAGTTCAGCTAAAACTCGCAGGCAGGGATCTGGGCCCACCAGTGGTCACACAAGATGCTGCGCCTACCTTTGGCGCTTGCTCTGAGCTGTGCTGAAGAACAGTATACAGGATCTGCATGTTGTTGGGATTCCTTGCATTTGAAAGTTCATTGAAAATCACAAACTTAATCGTAGTTCCCAGGTTATCCCTGTGTGCATTCAGCAGCTCTCTGCAAGGGAAGACAAGAGGTTTGTAAGCTTAAACTTCAGCTAGATTCATGCTCTGATTTTTCTTTGAAGTGTTTAATACACAAAACTAAAGGAGGTGCAGCAGTAGGTGTGTTCAGAGATGCTAAAGGATTACTGAAGGGTTTCCACACCAGTGAAATTCGTGTGAATGTGACCCAATCTCCCATGGCCAAAGCAGATATTTAGCAAGCCCATCCAGAGCCAAGGCCCTGGGCACATCATCCACACGGAGTCACTCACTCACCTGACACACAGCATGTAGTGGTTGAGAAGGACCTTTGGCTTGAGACGAATTTTGATCAGGTTGGAGATAACTTCCATGTCCTCTGAGCTGTGAGTGTTGCAGTTCATACAAACAGACATGAGCAAGTCCTGCGCTGGCTTGGTCAACTGCAGAGGAAGAACAGGAGAACTGCAGCCACCGGCCAACACAGAACAGAAATGGAACTCGCCTTACTGGCTGAATTTCAAACCAGGTCCAAAAAATTCGAGGTCCAGCAGTCTCCATCCTCACCTTAGGATTCTGCAGCCACATCTCCAGCCTTTGCACAGCCATCTGTCGCACCTCTTTGTAGCCACAAGTTGCTGTCAGCAGACGAAGGAGGTTTCTGGACACGTTATCCATGGGCTGGCGCCGGTTGAGCTGATCCCGCAGCATGTCCAGAACGTACTCCTCCACACTCTCTGCAAGGTCGTCGTACCTGGGCCATACAAACTGCATTTTATTCACTTTCTCCCAAGCCAGCTCTGTCATGCTTCACTGTGTCCAGAGATCAGCATTCTTTCTTGTTCACGGTAAAGACTACAAAAACAAATCTACTCATTTCTCCTGACATTCAACGTTCTCTAGCAAGTGTCGTGGGACAGCTCGTGCAGAGAGGGAGCTCTGCCACAGCACTTCAGGAGTGGGTGAGCACAGGCAGATGTGTCACATGGCTGTGACAGGGAAGGAAAGCAATTTACCTGGGCATGAGCTGGCCCTCTTGTTCTGGACTCATTTTCTCCTCTGCAATCAGCAGCTCACTCTGGCTGTCTTCCTCCTCTGTCATGGAAGGGTGTGGGCTACTTCCTACAAGAGATCAGCACAAAGCACACACCATGAGACAACTCTTTCCACCACTTATCACTCACACATACAGGCACATCATTCGAGTCTTTCGCTGCTTGCCCTCAAAATGAAGGGCAGCAAAGAAGGGAAAAGCAATGCCAGAAACTCAACATCTGCTCTAGAGGACTCCATCAAGTAACACACTGCTCACATCTGTTTGTAAGTCCTTGCTAATGTTTTTCAAACATCCACTTACCAGCACTAATGTCCCCACCACTACGACCAACTTCCCCATGCAAGAGCATGCTCTTAGGAGGCATCTTTGTGTTAAAAGCAGTTTGGATGTTATCCACAAATGTCTTGCAGTGAGGGCTGTCCACCCAGATGCGCTCTCCAAGGGAGTCCTCAATGTAAACCTATAGGAAAGAAAGCAGCAGAGAACACAAACCACACTCAAACTTTCTCATACAACTTGCCTCAGCCCAGCAGAAACACCCTTTGTTCAACAACCTTGACAAAGATCTCTGGCCAGTTCTCATCCTCTTCGTAAGCTGCCATGAGAAGGTTGCAGGCCAAGACAGACACAAGGCTATTCCCTTTAGCTTTGAAATTAATAGAGGCATCTCTTCGGAGCAGGCTACACAATGCCTGGAAAATTATATGAAAAAAAAAAACAAACAAAAAATTTAAGTTACATACCCAAAAATCATATAGAAAAGCTTTAGGAAAAAAAAGCTACACATCTCAGTAACTTGCCACAGAACTGCAGTATTTACAAAGGCATGCTAACTACTTTCTGGCCAGACAGCAGCTACAATCCTACCCGTGATGTGGCAGGAACCCCAGAATTATACTTCAGAAACATGCAGTCAGATGCTTCAGGAAGCCCAGGAGTCCCCGTGTGACACAGCTCTCACCTCGATAACTCCTTCAGTGGCAAATATATTTGGTTTGATTTTCGCCAGGTACATGAGGCTCAGGTACAGCGTGGTATCAGGTTTGGCTCGGTTCATTTTCAGCTGCTTGGCCGCTCCACACAGCACTCCCTCAATGCGGTCGTCGTTACCTTCTGCCTCTGCTGCCTCAATTTCATCCAGCAGCACCGTGGGCACAACTGCAACAGCCAACACACAGGCACCAGTTTTTACCCTCATGCAAAACAACCTGCCCTGATACTCTGCCAGGATCAGCCGCCAGGAAAGCAAAACATGGATCCACACCTCAAATACTGTGCTCGGTTTTGGGCCATCCTTTCCTTTCTCTTGCAGGTGGGATGTGACAGGACTCCTAACACAAGACTGACTGAGGCCCTGGAGCATGTAAGAAAAAGGGCAAGGAAGCTGTGAAGGATCTGAAACACAAGTCTTGCAGGGAGAGGCTGAGGGAACTGGGATTGTTCACTCTGGAGAAGGCTCTCTACAACCACAGAATCACAGAATGGCCCGGGTTGGAAGGGACCTCAAGGATAATGAATCTCCAACCCCCTGCCACATGCAGGGCCACCAGCCTTCACATTTAATACCAGGCCAGGTATTAAATAGATAGACCAGGCTGCCCAGGGCCCCATCCAACCTGGCCTTGAACACCTCCAGGGACGGGGCAGCAGCAACCACCTGAAAGGAAGCTGTAGCAAGATGGAGGTCAGCCTCTGCTTGCAGGTAACAGTGACAGCAGGACAGGTGACGGCCTTAAGCTGTGCCATGGGAGGGTCAGGGTTAATACTAGCAACAAACTTTCCTTTCTCAGGAGTGGTGAGGCACTGGCAAGTCTGCCCAGGGAGCTGGTGGAGCTGCCATCCTTGGAGGCACTTAATAAACACATGCACGTGGCACTGAGGGACGTGGCCTGGTGTTGTGCTGGGCATGAGCTGACAGTTGGACGAGGTGATCTCTGAGATCTTATCCAACCTTAATGATGCCGACTCTACAATCTGCATACCTTTAGCCCCTCTGTGGTGTTTTTCCTATTAAATTTTTCAGACAAGATGAACACAACCCAACATGAACAAGGAAGACAAGGTGATGAAACTGTGACTTTCGCCCCCTATCCAGCAGGGGAAAGCCTTAAGGACAGCACACGAAAGGTGCCGCACAGGCTAAAGGAAAGGCTTCCTGCAAACCGAACCCCAAGCCGAGGCCGCGCCCTGCCGCGACGGCGTACAGCCGGCCCTTACCTTCGATGGGGATGACGGACGGCTCCTTGATGGAGGGCGAGATGGCCCGCTTCTCCGCCACGGCCGCCTCGGCCAGGCGTCCCAGGGCGCTGAGGGGCGGCGTGGCAGACAGCTTGGGCCGCTTGCTCAGCCCGCCCAGCCCCGCGGGGCCCGACAGCGCGGCGGCCGCGTCCCGTTTGCGCTCCGAGGGCAGCCCGGCGGGCGCCGGCTTCAGTAGAGCGACGGCGGCCTTGCCATCGCCGCCCTGACCCTTGGAGCCCAGCGCGATGAAGTCTCCCGGCGGCGGGTGAGCTGCAACGGACGACAACCGTGATGGGGACCGCGACGGCAAACGGGACGGCCCCCGCCCCGGCCTCTCGGGCGCGGCCTCAGACTCACCGGAGGGCTTGGGCGCGGCGCTGGGCCGCCGCACGGCCGCCGCCTTCGGTCGGTTCATGGTGCCGCACGGCGCGGACACCGACGCCGGCACACCGCTCTCGCGACCCGGAAGCGGAACTTCCCTCCGCCCCCGCCCTAAAGGCGGAAGCGAAGCGTGCGCCCCACTGCCGGGGCGGTATCGGCGAGCGGCCCCTCCCGCCCCGCCATGGGTGAGCAGAGATCGCGCCGCCTGGTGGTGGGAGGTCGCGGAGGTCCCGTTAGGGCACGGTGTGAGGCGCCGCCCCGCGGGCTGGAGTGGAACTGCAGTTCTGAGGTCATGGGAGATCGGGAATGGAGGGGGAATTGGGAGACGGAAGGGGAATTGGAGCGTTTGCGGAACAGGGAGACACGGTGGAGAATAAAGGGGAATTGTGGGACATAAGGGTGAAACCGAACCCTTATGTACGTAAGGGAACGTAAGGGATCGGGGAGCACGGGGGAGAACTGTGGGATATCTGAGGACAGAAGGACAACCAGACACCAAGCTCTCCGCGTGCCTTTAATTGCAGATGGGGCGATGGGCGCACAGCCCTGATCTCACACTGATGACACAGATGGAGCCCCACCCCATCCCCACGTCCCCTGCCCCCATCTGCAGCAGCGGGTGATGACAGATGACAGTCCCTGTGTTACCATCCTGGCCCTGAGGGCTGGAGCAGGAACGTGCACAGCAGGTCATGGCAAGGCAGCCCCGTGCCCCCCCAGCTCACAGCCACTGCAGGGTGAAGCCCTGGCTGAGCCCGAGCCCGAGGCCACTGACGGTGAGGACCTGCAGGACATGAGGGGACAGCATGGCTGAGCTCCTCCAGCACTTATGCAATGACCCCAACCCTCTATACAGCACAAGAACACCTTCTTCGCCCTCCTGCCCCCCATCAATTAGGGCTGGGAGAGGAGGCATGGGCACCCCCAGGACACAGCACGCCAACACAAAGCCATACCTGGTTGTCCAGGTAGAAGAAGGGCTTCTCCTGCCCATCTAGGAGGACCTTGCTGGGCGGCTCCTGCACTCCATAGAATCTCACTGTATCAACAGTGACATAGTTGGCCTCGGTGCTGGCATGGAGGACGTTGGAGGTGAAGATGTTCTGCAGGAGGGGATGGTGTGAGCACGAGGTGTCCTGGACACCCCCCTGCCCTTCCTACCATGTCCCACCTCTGTGGCATTGAAGACCAGGTAGGAGTAGTTGCCCCGCTCGAAGGTGTCCAGGCTCTCGCCGTCATCCCAGAAGAGGTCCCCCCAGGCAGTGGCACGTGGGGACAGGGCCACAATGAGAAGCAGTGGGTTCCCTCGGGTGGCCTTGCTGGTGGTCCCGGGTTTCTGGATTTCAAAGGAAGCTGTGAGGCTGTGTGCCCGGTATGGGGCAGGGAAGGCTATGACATGCTGAGGACTGAGGAAGGACACCTCGTGGAGCAGGGGACTCCTCTGGGACCGTCCCCAGCCCAGGGAGGTGGCAGCAGGGAGCTCACCTGTGTGGGCAGGATGGAACCCTCCCGGAGATGGAGGTTGAGGTGGTCCAGGGGGGCTGACAGCTTCAACATCTCCCCACTGCTGTTCACAGAGGAGCCCTGGAAGGGAGCAAAGTACAAAGGGGGGTCAGGGACATAGTGATGCACTCAGGCAAGGGGCCAGGGAGCAGCTCCTCAGGTAGCAAGCCCCACAGCTGGTGATGATCCAACACTTTGGCATCCCCTGAGAGCCTCGTCCAAATCATCCAAAACCTGAGTGTGAGTGCCATGGTGCTCCTCACCGTGTAGAAGTCGTACCACACGCCTTGGGGGAAATAGCCCAACACCGAGTCTGCTCCAGGCTCCAGCACCGGGGTCACCAGCAAGCTCTGGCCCCACAGGAACTGCCTGTCCAAGCCATATGTGGCCACATCCCAGGGGAACCTGCAGTGGGATGGAGACAAAGCTGCCATCAGTTACTCCTTCACCACCAAACCACAGCCAGCATCTCACCAGCTCCCATCAGGGTGCTCTTACTCAAAGAACAAAGGTCGGGCGACGGTTTCCCCCTGCAGGTGGGCACGGTGGAAAAGTGTGTAGAGGAAGGGCAGGAGGGAGTAGCGGGTGAGCAGCACGTCCTTCATGGCTGTCCTTGCTGAGGGGCTGAAAGCTGTGGGGTCCTGGGCCTGGAGGATACACAAATGTGAGTCAGCAAACGCCCCATCCTCACCCAAATCTCCATCCCCATGGGGCAAATGTGCCTGCATCCCCCTGCATTCTACCTTCTACATCCCACATCTCATATTCTAAATCCAGCATACTGTATCCAACATCCCAAATCCCACATCCTGCATCCCATATCCCCCATCCTGCCCAAGACCTTCTCGTTCTGGGTGTTGTGGTTGCGGGAGAAGGGGTAGAAGGCCCCAAGCTGCATCCAGCGGGTGCACAGCTCCTCCGAGGTGCTGCCAGAGAAGCCGCAGATGTCGGCCCCCACCAGAGGGATCCCAAACAGGCTGAAACTCAGCATCCCTGCAGACAGGTGGGCAGAGATGCTCAGCAGAGTACGGGGAGTTTTGCGGTCTCCATCACCTCCCAAACGCAGGATGAAAGGAAATCCCAGCAGGGCTGGGGTGCTTTCTGGGGAAGGGCAGAGCTGTGAGACCGTACCACCCACCTGGGATGGAGTAATACATGTCCTTCCATTGGCTCCGGTTGTCACCCAGCCAGTGTCCCGAGTACCGGCCCTGGCTGGGGAAGGTGGAGCGGGAGATAACAAGGGGACGCTTTCCTCGGATCTGGATCAAGGCGCTGCAAGGCAATGGGGAGACCGAGGAGCAGGAGGTGAGAGCTGCCCTGAGGAGCCTCCTCAACCCTTACAGACAGCTCTGGGAGTGTGAGTAGCATAGTCCCTGGGCTTGGAACAGGACCAACTTTATCCTCCCTCCTCTCCTCGTTCCTCTGGGCAAGGCTGTGAGCAGCCACAGCATCTCCCTTTGGCTCAGCCACTCAAACCCCACTTCTTTTCCTACACTGACATCCCTGAGCAGCACACTTTCACCCATCCTATCCCCAGGGTGCTCAGGTACCTCGCCGTCGCTTCGGCTTCCTTCAGCCCGTAGAGGTTGTGCAGGTTGTAGTGCACCGAGGCGTTCTGCTTCGCTGAGGCACACACCGTCTTGGCGGACAGGGAATTGCCCAGCACAGCTGCCGGGAGGGACAGCCACCATTGGCATTCGGTGGAGAGGGTGAGGGGCACAGAGCCACCCATGCTGCAAAGTGAGCTCCCACAGCAACTCCCATCCCGCGCCCCAGCACAGCCACAAGCGTTCAATGCTCGGGTATGGAGATCAGCACATGAAAGCAGGGATGGGCACGGTCAGGGAGCGGAACAGAGATGTGATGTGTTGGAAGAATGGTTTTCCTCCACAGCACTCAGTTTTCAGCATCATGAGAGCACGTGGTACCTACCAGCGCAGCCTGCATCTCACCGCCCTCCTTACCCGGCGTGTACGGGGGGCTGTCGAGCTCTCCGGGCGGGCAGCCCTCTTCAGACCCATCCATGAAGTTGGATGGCTCGTTCATGTCCTGTGAAAACCACAGAGCAGTGTGAAGGGGGAGCTGTTAGGGATCAGTGATGTCTAAGGGAGGCACATGAGGGGTGTGCTGGAACCCACAGGCTCCAGGCTTCCTCCCACACCACCACAACCATTGAGCCCCTTTGCCCAGCACACACAGATGGTCACATATGCAGAGTGCTGTCCTGCCAAAACACGATGAAGCCAGAAAAGCAGCACTCGGGCAATGGCTGTTGCTCCAGGAGCAGGGAGATGGCACCAGGCAACGGGGAGCACTTACGATCCAGAGGCCATCGAAAGGCACATGGGTGTGGAAGCGCTGCAGGTTCTCCAGCCACCACTGGTGTGTGTCTGTGTTGGAGAAGTCGGGGAAGGCAGTGTAGCCTGGCCAGACCTGCAGGGAAGCCACAGAGCAGTGGTTCAGCAGGGCAGAACGCTAAGGGGAAGGAGATACCCCGAGGCTTTGAGCGTGCTGAAGGACCCAGGGCTAAAACAGGCAATAAAGCCAATGGTAAAATCCAGGCTGACTGCTTCAAGGGCTGGATGCTGCGTGTGCAGCATCGCCCCTGAGCATCTCAGGGTGAGGCGGAGAGCAGAGTCTGCCTGCATGTGCCAGTGATGGGGAAGAGCTGTGATTCCTCTGTGTTTCACCTCACTCCAGGAATTATAGTGTTGGAATTACAGAGTTGGGTCATTAGACTGTTAAAAGTTTCAGCAGGAGAGGGAGAGCCAGGAGGAGCAAATGGCTGTGAATGGGTAATAAACTGGCTGCGGGTCTGGAGCAGATTGGAGGCGCTTGAGCATCACAGGCAACCTCTTCCCACCTCAAAAACAGGAAGGGAGAGGATCAGATGATCGGCCTCAGGCAGAACCACCAACCCCTCTGCACTCATATGACTTGCCCGGGTGCCTCTGCGGGACAGCAGCTGGCTCTGGAGGCGGGTGGAGATGCCACAAGGTGAAATGTGGAAAACTGAGAGCAGGACCGGGCCCTGGCAATCAGCCACCTGCCTTCTCCTCCAGCAGGAGGGAAGAAATCCCAGCCCGACTCCTGCAAAGCCCCCAGGATTTCCCCCAGCTCCTCACCTGCCCAATCAGTGGCTGCCCCTGGGTGGTGTTTAGGAACAAACCCCGTCTCAAGCCTTCATCGAAAGGCCAGTAGGAACCACGTGGGCTGGTGCTGCTGATGCCGGGGTCCTGGGGATGGAGCAGAGTCAGTATCTCTCAGCCCCTTCCCCTGCAATGCCAGTGTGATTCGGGGAGCACAGTCAAGGCAGGGTCAGCCAAAGCCCACGCATGGCGACTGTTTCAACCAAGGGGAACAGAAACTTGCTTCAACACTTCCAGGCTCATTTTCTAAAATGTCACTTCTGCAAGTCCCGAGGACCCGTTATGGGGTTTTGGGGTGGGGGGGGATAAATATAAGAAATCATGAACTTACGCAAGAAGCATCAGGACACAGCTTGGGCTACAGAGGGGACTTCAATCTGCCCGGGGCAACCCAACATCCCCTCCCAGGGTCCGTTTGCACCCCAGGCCTTGCTGCCCACAATGAGCAGAACCACATCCCATTTCCTGACAGTGGGACAGCACCGCAGGGTCATGAGAGCTCAGCACTGGTGGGGAAGCAGGGATTCCTGTGTCGAGCACCCACGAGTTGAACCCAGACTCAGTCATGGTCCCTCTGCGCATGAGGACGAGGAGCCCGCCTCCCTGTGCTCCCTCAGCAGATGGGAGCGTAGTGCAATAACCTGGCCCGTATCTCAGCACTCCCTGCCCTTACAGGGGATTTCCAAAGGCAGATTGCACGCTGACAAAAATCCCCAGTCCTGGAGCTGGCTAACACCACCCAGGCACCGGAGGGGGCCATGAGCTGCCCCCAGTCCCTGCCTTGCAGCCACCAAGCCCAGCTCCGGAGAGTGACAGCCCTGAGCATGAGTGAGGCAAGTACCAAGATCATCACGTAGTGCTGCCCGTGCTTGTGGAGATCTTCCACCAGTGAGGGGAGAGAGGCAAATTTCTGGGGATCGAAGGTGAAGTCCCGGTACCCATCCATGTAATCAATGTCGTTCCATTGAGCATCCTGCGGGGAATGGGCTCAGAGCAGGCAGCAGCACACAGCCCCCATCCCTCCCTCCTTCCTTGGGGTACCTGTGGGATCTGGTAGTTCCTCATGGCCCTTGCAGTCTGCCAGGTCTCATTGCTGGAGCCGTAGCCCCAGCGGCAGAGGTGGAAGCCGAGTGCCCAGAGCGGAGGCATGGCTGGGAAACCTGCAGTGTGTCCACAGGCAGTGTCAGCGTGGCAAAGGGATGGGAGAGGAAGGGGGTGGAAGAGGAAGGGAAAAGGGGAGATGGAGTATGGGGTGACCATGTGGTGTTCCTGGAGGGATGGGGATGGGGTGGGGTGATGCAGGCACGGAGACAAAGGGAAGAGCACTTAATGGTGTATGTGCTTACCTATCACCTCCTGGTACTGCTGGATGACCATGTTGGGGTCAGGCCCCAGGAAGATGTAGAAGTCCAGCACACCTCCAATGGTCCTCCAAGTCAGGCCCGGGGCAGGCTGCAAGGCCACCTCTTTGCACAGTGGGGAGAAAAGCACAATGAGACCTGGGGAGCATCCCAGCATGGGGCCGGGCAGCACCACCACGGTGCAGGAAAAGGAGAAATCCCTGTGGGTGTCCAGGGCTTACACCATCACAGGCTGGGCAGATCATGGAGAAAGCTCTCTATGAACAGGCTCTTCAAGTTGAAAGCTGTGCCCTCTGTTGGCCCTCACTTAAAAACCAAATGCATGCCTTCCTCCAGTGCACAGGAGGCAGGGCGATCCCGGGTTTTTCACATGGCTGAGCCCTCAGACCTCAGCTGGGTGATGCATTTCCCCGTGCTCTGCTCCACGCTCACACTGGGAAGCAGAGCTGCATTGAAGCTGAGCACAGCTGGAGCCCTGCTCTGAGCAGCATGGTCCCAGATGGCTACTGGAGGGGGGACGGGTGACCACCAGTGCCATCCTGGCAAAGCAGGACCCCGTGGGGCTACTAGCAGGAAGGTGCTGCAGGGCACAGGTGGCACAGCTGGGGACAGCTGGGGACAGCACAGGCAGCATCCCCGTCTGGGCAGGAATCGCACACACTGACAGCCTCAGGGCAAGGCTGCTTTGGGCAGATGGGGAATGGGCACAGAGCTGCATGTGAAGGACTCGCTTTTCCGACAGCAATTCAGCAGCTGGGCGTGCGGTTAAACTGCTCAGCAGTTGCTAAAGAGCCTCGCTTCAGCCAGGAAACAGATGGCTCAGCTCAATAACGAAGCCATCGGACCACATCTTTTCCCTTTTATGGCTTCCTCTTGCCCCAAGATCCCGAACCAACGCCACACACCTACCCATGGCATTGCTGTTGAGGAGGAAAACCCCGTGGGCATCGCCGCCCTCCTCCATCAGCAGGTAGAAGGGGTGAGCGCCGTACAGATTGAAGGATTCCTGCAAGCAGGGGTTGCCTGGTGAGAGAGCAGCTCCCGGGTAGAGCAGCTCAGCTCAGAGCCAAGAGACTCAGGCTAACCAATGTTCCCAAGTCACATCAGTTGCCACCACCCAGCCTAGCATCCATCACCCCATGGAGGGCACGGCAGGGTTGTGAGGACAGTTTTGGAGCTGGAAGCCACGGGAGCTGCTTTTCCCTTGGACACTGCTAAGCTGTGCCCAGGGCAGCCGCACCACAACCTGCTGCATGGACCAGAAAGCACTCAGGGCCATCAGGACACACGTTTTTTGCAATTGCACTGAAATCCTCCCCATGACCACTCCCTGCCCCAGGGGTACCGTGGGGGCCACATCACGGGCCCAGAGGGTGAGGGTGTTCCAGTCGAGGCTGTGCAGCAGCGTGCTGCGGTGCTCCCCCAACCCATACAGGAACCTGGAGGGCAGCGTGGTGGAGATCTGCAGGAACTGGTCGGCGAAGATCAGGGGAGCCACGGTGGTGTTGAGCCTGCCGGGTGACACAGCGGGAGAGAAGGTCACCAGGGGATGGTAACCCCCTCACAGTGACGTGCCCTTCCCTCTAGAAGCATCTCGATGCCAGCAAAGCAGTGCATCCCATCCCATTTCCAGTCCTGTTAGGGCAGACTGGGGTCTGGGTGGTGGCACATCCTGACCCCAGCCAGCCCAACCCCACACAGCCATTCATTTGACACCGGCAGTTTCCACTCCGGTTATAATTAACCACCGAGGCGATGCAGCCAGGGAGTTCTCTGTCTGCCCTTGCTGATAAGCAGCTCCTGAGGAAAAGACAGACCACAGGGCCCAAAATGGGAGGGAGGAGGACAGGACAGGATCTGGGGGAGTGCTGGGACACCCTGCCCTATGCTGAGCACTGCAGCTCGCTGTGGCTCAGCTCAGGCAAAGCCATGGAGAAGACCGGAGCAGCACAGCGAATCCACTGGTATTTTTTCCCCCAAAAGCCTGAACCCAGCGCTTGCTGGGGAGTTCCCACACCATAGACAGCTCTGGAGAACCCCAAAAGCAAGGCCAAGCAGGCAGAGCTGTGGCCCTTTGCTGGTCCTTTCCCCAAGCCTCCAGGTCCATCCCTGGTGATACGCTGGGGTCCCGCATCCCAGGGCTGTGCCTCACTCAAGACACAGTTTGGAGCAGCTCCATGACACCGGTGGGGATTTGGGGTATTGTGCTGGTTTGGGAGTAGGTGCTGATCACACTCAGTCCTGCATGGCCAGAAAGCCACGTGCTGCTGCGTCCCCATGTGAGCACCAGAGTTTGCAGCAAGGATGAAAGCAATGATAACTGATGGATTGAGATGCGTAGGTGTGTTTTTCCCTAAGGAAAGCCCTCAGGGAGGCACGCTGAATCCCACTGAGGGAAGGACACATAGAGAAGGTGGGCTCTTACAGCACTGTCCCTGTCCCTTGGCGCCGCAGCAGCACCCCAAAGGGATCCTGGGAGAATTCCAGGCTGTAGATGGGGTTTTCTGCTCTCTTCATCACTCGGGGAACTTCCAGGGGCACCTCATACCGGGGCTTGGCTGCATCGGTTATCTGCAACGGGGAAAAAGGACACTATGAACACCAGCAAAACAGGAGGGCTGGAGATGCTCACTGAGGACACGTGTTCATGTCAGGAGCAAAGCAGCTGCCAGCCTCTCTCTGAGCAGGGGACGTCACCTACAGACGTGGTACAGGGTGCAGAGCCCTGGAAGAGAGCTGGAGGCACGCTCACCTTGATGCGCAGCCGTGTGTTCGTCTGGAACTCCACATCCATCCTCAGCACCTGGATGTCCTTGGGGTAATAGGCCTTCTCCCTGCGCACCAGCAGCCCCGTCATGCCCAGCACCGTCTGGTTGAGGCTCTGCACCACGTAGCTGGGGAAGTTGGGCGGATAGAAGCACCAGGGCACCCCACGTTTGCCCCCCACTGCAGGGAGGGTCTCGATGAAGCAGCACCCCCGGCTCTCGCACAGCTCCTGGGTCACCACCACGCTCCTCTCGGGGTAGCAGTCATAGCGGTGGCTCTCAGGGACCAGGTGGCATTGGGAAGGTGGTGCAGGGCCATGCCAGCCCCTGGATACTTGTCGCAGCACCCAGACGGTGATGGTGCTCAGCAGCACGGCGGTGATCAGCAGCCCGCTGCCCACCCACCATGGGGCCAGCTTGCTGCGGCCAGCAGCTGTCGGGGTGGTTGAATTTTCCTCCTCCTCCTCCTCCTGGCTCAATACCAGCTGTGGCACCGATGTCCTCAGCTTCTGGTACGACCTCATTGTCCTGGGGCTGCAGTGAGGGGAGAGAGATGAAGAGTGCATGGTTGTGGGAAGTGGCCAGAGGAAGTTCATGCAAGGCTTCCCTGAGCCTGATGCAGAGCTTTCTGCATTGGTTGAGATGTGCTCTGCAAACTTATGGCACTGATGGCTTTGTCTGGAGCTGCCCATGCCTAGCCCCACTACAGCATAGAGGCAGCCATGAGGCTCTGCTGCAGCCCCAAGGACCACCAGACCGAACTCCACACACTCTGGGTCTGGGGTGGTGGCAGTGTTCCTGCAAAGATTTTTGCCCAGGTCTGAATGTATGGGTTGTGGCATTTCCAGAAGATTGACAAGCAAAAGTGAGTCCCCAACCACCCACTGGGGCAGTCGCAGTGCTGGGAGCGTGAGGTGTGGAGCATCCTCTGTTCTGAGCATCCTCTGCTCATGCCCAAAGCCCTGAGTCAGACCTTTCAGCCTAGGGAGGACAGCAGGGAATATGCCGTCAGTGTTTGCCTCCCACTGATAACATACGATTTTAGAAACTTCTCAGGCAAACGTCTTCCAGACTGCAAGCGAAGCAGAGCCCCCGCTCCTGCTGCCTGCAGGGCGCAGTCCCAGAGCTATAAACAAGGACGCAACTTTCTCCTGCCCACCTCCAGCCCAGACCTCGCTCTCCTAATCTGCACAAGCTCAGCGCGGTGCCCCTCGCTGCAGAGCGGATTTTATCCCCGTCGGCCCTCCCCTGGCCCTGCACCAAAATGGCCCGCCCCGCTCAGCACCCCGCTCGGCATCCATCCCGTGCCGTGGGGCTGCTGGTGGGGACGGGACGCAGCGGGTGCCCTCACCCCCTGCATGCACACCCGACCGCCTCTGCACATCGATCCCAACCTGCTCGGCACGCCACCTGCCCGGCCACGCGCGCTCACGCCAGGCCACGGCGACGCAGCAATGGCCTTTCGGGCAGAGGGCGCAGAGCCAGCCGTGCCAAAAAGTGCAAGGGCGGATGCGGGGCCCCCAGCCCAGCCCGGGGGGCACAACCCAGGCGCTTACATCCACGTGCGTCCTCTTGATACTGTGGCTGCGGGCGGCGGTGCGGGCAGCACGGGCTCGGGGCTCCCAGCAGCGCAGCCCTGCCTGCTCCGCCGTAAAACTCCGAGCAATTGCCCAGCGCCTACCGCTCCTTTCTAATAGCAGCGCCTGCTAACGCGCTGACTTCTCAGCTGCTCTCTCATCTGCTTTGCTGCGCACTTTTAGTGTGTCTGCATATATCGATGGGTCCACGCTCAGTGCTGTTCCAAAGCCCCTTGGTATGGGAAATGAATGATTTGTTTTCAATTTTCCTGTGTACACATTGGGTCTCAAGAGCCTGCACATTCACATTTCCAGCCTCCCCTTTTCAGGATCAGAGCATTTCAGTGTTTCAGCCCAAGCAGAGGGTGGAAGAGATGCCTGTGCTGAGCACTCCATGGTGCCTGACCTGTTATGAGCACACAGCACAAGGGCTGCCCCACAGGTCCCCACATCCCCAAAGCAAGGCCCCTTTCGTCCCTTTATTTTTCACCAAGTGCACTTTCTGCCGTGTGCTCACACTCTCCTGGCTAAGGAGTGGGTGTGTGTGCATGCTCCCAGCCAGGTTTGCACTCTCAGGGGATCAGAGCCACTCGTTTGCTGTTGAAGGCCACTGCAGTCCAAAGGTCAGCAGCAAAGGACAACAGACCTTTGGAGCAAAGCTGCTTTCTCCGGGAATGGAAACAAAAATCCAGATCTGTCATGAATGGCCAATTCACCCAGAAGCTGAATTTCAACAATCCCCCCTCCCAAGCCATACTCAGTATGTTCAATCCCATCCTTGCAAAGCCAGGGGAGAATGTCCCACTTTGGGTCACCGCAGAGGGAGAGACCA